TTTATGCTTTACCATCGCTAAAACACTTCCCCCATGTACTGCTGTAGTCGAAGTGCTGTCTGGGGATCGGAGTAAACGGAATAACCATCTTGTGGACTAACTTTCTTATCCATTTTTCTGTTTGTATTTCTGGGTAATTCTGTTTAAGTTTCCAGTCAGAGCTTCAGTGCAATAGTCCAGATGGTCAGTGTAAACGCGATCGCAGACTCTGCTCAGTGTCAGTGTTTGTGCTGCCAGGGCAGAAGCTGAAACAGACTCCATACATCATGATGCAAATGAGCCTCTGGATTTGACATTTCCAATAATCCCTGCTCAGTGTAGCAGCAGAGGCTTCAGCCAATTAAGTGTGTCAGTAATCAATGAGTTTCAGAGTCAGTCCAGTCCTGAGATCCTCCATCACATTCATCACACACAGATTAGCTCATCACTTTACACACACACACACAGAGATAGACACAGAGCCGCGCACACACACACACAGACACAGTGTTAATGGTCCACCTCAGAGGAGATAAAATGGAAAATAAAACTTAATGAAGTCTGCTTAAATCCAACAGCAGTGAGAGGGTGAGAGTGAGAGGGTGAAGTTTAATCCTATTATGGAACTTCATGTGTAACATCAATGTTCCAGTCTTTCTGAAGTCGGGTGTTTCATCTTAGATGGATGAATTCAATCAAGAGTTTTGAGACTTTTCCATTGTACACATAACTCATGACAAAATGTAATATTTCCCTCCTGTAACTCAGAATAATTAATATATTACAAAAAAAACCCTCTAAATTACAAAGGAATGAAATGGAATGGAAAAAAATCAGTCACTCAAATCACGTAGCTGCATCTCAGTATGTAAAACTCCACATGAGAACCCTGGCCTCGGACTTACTAACGGTTCCAAACAGTAAATAGTTGTTTTTCTCTTGGCCCTCTGCTACAACCGCAACACTTTTTTTTCCCAGAAATCCACAATTTCCTCAGTAACTTTATTAATGTTTTCAGACCTCATTCCATCATTCTGGTATTTGGGAAAAATCAACAGTTTTCACCATAGTTCCGGTGTCTAATAAATCATTTGAATAGTCAATATGTCCTGAACATCACTCAACAGTCTGCTATCAGATCAGAGATAAATACCAGGCCTGTCAAACTTTTGAAATTAAAATATACATATATTTTTTGGAAATTTAATCTAAGGATTGCTGTTGATGAATCACAATTTTTTTAAAAAAGAAAACTTTATTGATCCCACACTAATTGCAATTTAAAAAAAAAAGAAAACTTTATTGATCCCACACTAGGGAACAGCATTTTGTCCTCGCACCTGGTTTGCGTCTTGTCCAAGAATAGAGTATGAAGAAAAGTTGGCTCAAGCGGTGCAGTACGGGAGCAAACACACGCACACACACAAAGGCATGGTCCGCAAACTATTATTTATTTATTGCAAAGAGGCCTGCAAACTATTATTTATTTATTGCAAAGAAGTTTTATTTATTCGTCAATGTGTGACAGACAGAACAATTAAATCCTCTTCCACTAGGTGGCAGCAGATGGTTTTTAAAACTAAGAAAAGATAATCAGAACTTTTGAAGAAGATCTTTGTGAGCATCTTTCTTCAATTCCTGCCACTATATGAGCGTTGTCTTCAACTAAACAGGAGTGGATTTTTTTTTAAATTTAAACTAGAATATTATTATATTTCATAACATGAGATTTTTGTTTGGTGATGTGTTGTGGGGTTTTTCCTGATGATATTTCTGTGCTGTGGCTCAAAAAAGGTTGGGAAACACTGACCTATATTGACCTAGACACCTAAACTGTTTTCAGATGGCGAAATATTGATATTGCAGATTACTAGGCGTAGGAACCCGAAAGACTTTTGTCCATTGGATCTTAAGTCCAGTGCCATAACCGCCAACCGTGATGACTAACAATTGGGCTCGCCCAGGATTTGCGTAAATTTATGGACCCTTGCACCCTTAGCGAGAATCATACCCCTAGCCCGTTTATTTAAGTCACAAATATCGTACACTTTTCCACGCAAAATGACTTGGCGGGCTGCCTTGAGTTTGACACATGTGCCCGAGACCAACAAGCTGCTGTGTGCAGACAAAAGTTGTCTCTACATAGAAAGGTTAAAAAAACAACATTGTTTACTATAGAGTAACCCTCAGTGGCAGCCAAATGAATTAAGAAACTCTAGAAGAATGTTTTGAAGTGCTTGGAATTTGTTGGTATAGCAGCGGAATGACGGTATTGTGTTTAGCTTTGACTCAGATGTGAGAGACTTAATAGTCATAACACAACGGCACAATTTGTGTTTTGTTGCTTTGATTCTTGCCTCCTTTCCCTCTGTATATCAGAACAACGATTCTGCGGCTTTGACAGATAAAAGCAGCATGAAATTGAAGGAATTGTCATTCAAGCTCACGCTGTCGGACAGAAGAACAGAGGTGATGTAAATGAGCATCGCTTGGAACGCAGGTTTTTGGAATAACCTGGCAACAAGAGACTTTTTTTGTAAGAGCCAATGTAATTATAATAAAATTCTCTGTTCTTCTCACCCACTAAAGCTGAACAAACATAAGATGGAAAAAAAACAAAACAAATTATAGCTTTTTATGTCAAATGAACAGCAGGTAGAAGGTAGGAACAATTTATTCTTTTGTCTGTTTTAAAAAAGAGAACCAGAAAATGCTTCTGTATTTTCTCTTTCAGAAACATTTACCACCTTCCGCTGCAATTCAATTCAACAGAGGGCGGATTTTGCAAAACGTGGTGTATCATTTTCTTGAACTTAAATAAATAAAAAAAAAGCAAATAATGCTGCACACCATGTGACAATCACAGCCTGTACATGACAGAACGCGCTCACAGTTTGTTGCAGAAAAATGAACAAGCGCTGTTCTGACATTTGAAGGAGAGAAATTTAAATGTCGCCTTAAAATGAGTATGCTATTAAATAACTGCCGAGTATATGTCTATGTATTATTCTAGAAAATAATAACACATTGTTCACACAAGAGCTTCTTTGCCACCGATGAAAAGTTCAAATCAAACCCCCAGGGTTTCATGATTGTAAAACCAAATCACTAAAGAAAATTACAGCTGAGGTCACTTAAGAAAGATCTTAAAAATAAACCCAAGTTTGAGGTGAGGTGGTGGGGGATCTAAGAAAATACTGATACACTGAAATATGGTGATATGTTGTTTATTAATTAACATGCAAATATTTGTAGCGTTGTTTCATTTTTGTGTTGCACTTAAACTTCTGACTGTGACTCGACTGTTCAGGGACTGCATATATTTGCAAGTATTTGAGACTTTGGGTCAAATAATCTTATTTTTTTCCATGTGTTTATTCAAAATATTTTGCAAATTATTTTATTTCTTTTCCAGCGATTAAATCTGTAGATCCCTTTGTTCCAATTTTAGTGACCTAATGTTTAGCATGGAACAGCATTGTGTGTTTACTATGTTAACGGTTTTACTACAATTAAAATAAAAAAAAAAAAAAACCACTCGACTTTTAACCCTATAGTATCGCAGTATATCCCAATATATCGTATCGTTATAGTATTGCAGTATATCCCAATATATCGTATCGTTGCCCCTGTATCTCGATATTATAAATATATCGTTATGACTTGGAGCTGGAATCCTTACATTTAGAGTTCAAATCCACAAGGTTGAAGTTCGAAGGGCTATGTTTTGATTTCAAAATTAGTCCATTGGATTCAAAGGGGAAATATTATGCTACTTTAATGCAAATTAATATGGTTTTGGCTGGTTTCTGTGCCTTTCCTGTAAATGGGAATGAAACGCTGCGTTCCATCTTCCTCTGGGGGAAAACCCGAGGACTGCTCCAAGTGACCACGGCAACGGTTGAGCAGTGAGAATGAAATTCATGCTGTTTGATCATTCTGACAGGGTTTGTGCAACCAAGTGTTTTTCCTTTGTGCGGCAGTGAATGCTGTTATGACAGGTATGGTAAACTGGCAGGACAATGTACAACAAACAGTAGTCCAACCATATATGTTTAAGCCAGAGTCAGACTCAGAACAACACATCCAGAAAAAATATAAAACCAAGATGGTGTCATATACGCACACTAGTGTTTGTTTCTTTTTAGGGTTATTTTACTTTTATTTGACTGTATTTTTAGTCATCATTCCAACATTTCCTATACAGGAGAGGGACATTTACTGCCAATAGTGCATACTTTTTCAGTGAGTTCAGCGAGCATTTCATGGAACTTTTTAGTGAGCAGAGCTATTTCCATTAACTGCAAACTTTTCACCGCAGGAGTTTTCTTAATTTTGGTCAGCGATTACGTCCCTCCCCGTGCCTGCATTCATGAAACTTGGGAAGAATTGTCTGGGCTCAAAAGAGAGCAGCGTCTACCAGACTCCCTGCTTAGTGTTTTAGGGGATTTCAACAGAGCAAATCTCACAAATGAACTATCCAATTATACACAGCATACTACTACATGTCCACCGGGGAAAACAGGAGACTTGATCACTGTTCTAATCAGCTCTAAAGCATCCTCACTCCGACTCTGAGTGGGTAGAACTCTTACGGATGGTCCCGCAGGTTCAGCTAGTTTCTTTAGTCATCTGGGAAAAAAAATACATTGTATATTTTCCTGACTCAGTCAGGGAAACATGTTTCTCCACCAGTCTGACCTGATTTGCAGTTTTGGGCCAATATAGTACATGTTCACAGAACCAAAACTCAAAGGTCGATTACTGAAGTAAGGAAGGAATAATATGAAAGACTCTAAAAGTGGGATGGATGCTTCATTTACGGTGTGTTTTTGTAGTTTCCAACCAAGTTTCCTAGTCAATACAATGTTTTAAGTCAGAGTTTGAATGATTGAAAAGCTGAGTTGGTTGAATTCCCAGTAATCCGAGTCCAAGTTTCGTGCGATCCCTAACATTTGTTTTGTCCTTTTTGAGCTACCATCTGACCTGTCAATGTCGTCTTCTGCTCTAACCCTTCTCAGCTCTGTTGGAGGCCATATTGGCCGGCAGTGACTGTTTGGTTGCCGGAGACTTATGTTCCAGTGATGAGGTCTGCAGTCCACGTCTGCGAACGCTGCGTCAGTGTGTGGCCGGCGACGGCAGCATGAAGTTGGGCCCCGGGGCCAAGAGTCAGTGTTCAAACGCTGTGTCGGCCCTAATGTCAAGCCCTCTGCACGGATGTCAGTGTAGACGAGGCATGAAGATGGAGAAGAACTGCCTGAGCATTTACTGGAGTCTTCACCAGGCGTTTATTCATGGTAAGATAATAGATTTCTGAACAGATTAAACTAAAATGAATAAAAGACAAGGATAGAAAAACACTTCCTTTTTAAGCACTTTTCCCAACTTTCTAACACGTATTTCGGTCACATTTATAATCATTCTCAGAGCTGTCTTAGTCTATTTTACCACAATAAAATATTTATTATATTTTGGGCCACTTTATCTATTTATTTCTTTAACTTGAATTTATTTCTGAGCAGCTGTTATCTTATGATTTATGAGTTACATAAACTTTATATTTGTGAAGTCTTTTTTTTTTTATTTTAGATATCGTCTTGTTAATTTGACTTTTTTCCAACTTTTTTGTAGTCATTGCTTTGGCTGACATTTAGGTCTCCTAATACCATTTGTTGTTTGCAACTGTCTTTTTCATTAATAACTTTTTCTTTAGTTTTCACTTTTACAACTTTTTCAGCTGACCTTTGCTTACATTTGGGCCATTTTCTAAATAAAAATGTCACATTTTTATGCTTTCCTGGAGAACCTTTTACAGCATGTAGTCACCTATATGCTATAGACTTAACTATAGGCTTAGTATAATAGAAGATAAAGGTAAAATACCCGTGTATAAATTAAAACAAATATTTGTTTCTCTGTTATTTTAATATTTTTTCAGGAGTTCTAGCCAACTGTTCTGTCCGTGTCTGTCTTTCAGGACTGAATTTAGTGGAGCCTTTTCCCTACGAGACTGTGCTTAGAGATTACGAATATGTGCGCTTGGCTTCTATAACAGCTGGTGAGTTCATTTATATTCATCAACATTCACACTCACAAGGTGGACAATCAGCTGTTATTCTCCAAAGGTACTGTCATTTCAGGCGCTTTTCAGATCACTGTTTGACCAACAGTTGATGACATCAGCCCAGAAAGTTAAGATTTGCTTTTAGTTTTCAGGACAGGAAATTGTCACAAAGAATAAGATGGTATTTAATTCTTCTAAAGCTAAAGGTTACTTTAAATAGACAGTAATTAATGCATTAATAACTGATCAATTCCTGCAGATTCAGTCTCAATCTATGTGAAACATTTTTAGAAAATAAAAAAATAAATAAATAAAAATCACCCGCCATAAATGTCTGACTTTTATACAAGTCAGAGGTAGACATAGTGGAAGGTAAATAAATATAATCTAACCAAAATCTCTGGCTAGATCCCAAAGCCATAAAGCCTGTAGAAAAGCTGATGACTCATCCCTGAAACAAACACCTCACACACTTCTGTGACTCATCTTTCAGGCAACATGAACAGAAAAAGCTCCGCTCAGACAACGTGCCAGAGGTCATTTACACTCTAAATGTGACCATTCAGGGATTTAATTGAGCTCCCTTCACTGATTCACAGAGAAAGCAAGCAGGAAGTTGTCTGTGCAGTCCCTATTGTTTAGGTTCCAGACCACATTGTTCTGTCATGGGCTCCAGTTTCACTCTTCAGATCTGACTCCCCAGATAAGTGGATATTAAATATTTTATGTCCTTTCTTGGATCTTGTTTTAACCATCGTCGCGTTCTCCCTTCCTGTCCTTCGGATTTGCTTATTAAACTGATCCAGAAGGTGAAATTTGTGCCAGGTTAACAACTTAGCCGACTGTGTTTTAAAGGCACTTCTTGACCACATACACGCAGAAACCGTAAGTACCCGCTAACGCTAACGCTAGCTGCCTGTGCTTCCACTGTGAGATGAGTATTTTGAAAATGTGCAAATTCTAAATACTAAATACTTAATCAGCTCTAAAGAACGCGCACCAGCTTCACTGATATGAGACGGGGAGAGAAATGTGTTGGTCAGAGGGCAGAGGATGTTGTGACGGGGAACGGAGGGCAATAACAGATGAGATACTGTTACCTCAGACCAGCCACGTTACACCAAGGGCCATTTTAGCACTGCGGGTGTCCTCAAAGATACGGTTTCAGATCGAAGACCGTATAAAAGTAACTCTTTCATAACATATGGATTAATAACTGTTTCTATATTTGATGGTTTTTTTTTATTGAAATCACAAATATTGTTCAAATATATCAAATGCATAATAAGAAAAATATTAAATGTATTTTTTTTTTATTGAAATCACAAATACTGTTCTTTGCTGTGTTGATTTTTCAGAATGCATAATAAGAAAAATATTAAATGTGATTAAACGTGAAGTGGACTGGACCGGTACAATCCTAACATAATTACCTATAACTAACAAAAAGTCTATGTTTTTTTTACCCTTTGTTTTCATGCAAATAAATAAGAAATGAATAAATCATGCAGGCCGTATTGAACCGGGTCGGTTTTGGCCCGTGGGCTGTATGTTTGGCACCCCTAATTAGTCACAAATATTGTGGCGTCCATCGGCACAAAATTATGATACTGCCAAGTGCTTTGGACACGAGGTCAATCTGGCCAGGAGTACACACACAGTACACAAAACAACCCCTAATATTCACCACAGCTTACTTATAACTCCTTTCTCTTCGTCGCCCACCAGCTCCTAACACCACACGCGCACCCACTCCTGCCCACCTTCCTCTGACAAACCATTGTCATGGAAACCACATGACTGACAGGCTTCCTTGCCACTTAATGTCAACACCTTCATAGGGAAAAAAAACCTGTTTTTACAGTTATACTTGGTGTATTTTTATTTTTCACAGAAATATTTTTATAGGTGAGTATTTGAATTGAATTAAGTTATCTTACCTTAATATAACCATAATTCTAATGCCTCAGCACACCACTGTTCCTTGATGACGATGGTAACATGTGAGTTCATTATGTAAAAGACTTGACAAAATTGGCTCTACAGGGAGACGAAACAGGGAGAGATATGCAGCAGGGGAGGATGATAAAAGTGTGTGAAGAGCTAAAAAGCTCTGGTAAGATGAGCTTTATTCACCTACGCAACTTCCATCCACAGACTTGGACGTTGGCATGACCAACGTAAACCGCTGCCTCGACGCAGCCAAAGCCTGCAACGTGGACGACGTGTGCCAGAAGTTACGCACAGAATACGTCTCTGCCTGCATCAAACCCACGTCTAAATCAGGCCCGTGCAACCGCCCCAAATGCAACAAGGCTCTGCGGAGGTTCTTCGACCGCGTCCCGGCCGATTACACTCACGAACTGCTGTTCTGCCCGTGCACGGACACGGCGTGCGCAGAACGTCGGAGGCAGACCATTGTACCGAGCTGCTCCTACGAAGGCCCTGAAAAACCCAGCTGCATCTCTCAAATACGGATGTGCAAATCGGATTACGTCTGCAGGTGAGGGAGTTGTATTTATACGTTTTTTAAAAAGCTTTCAAATAAATTTAAAACAAAAATCAGCTAAAATTAAAGATTTTACAGCCTCTGTAGAGTCAATATGGACATTTTGGAGAGTCTCCGTGAAAAATACAATTCCCAACAACAATCTGTATTATTTCCTTAGCCCTGATTATTTTTTTATGGATAAAAAGGACACGATACCACAATATAATATTCACCCCAAATCCTCAAAGCCATTGTATTCAATGTTCCTGTTTTATTCCAAGGGTTCCTTAGACACCGATTTAAAAAAATATATATATCGAGTATATGTTAGGTACTTGCTCCAGTGGACCTCATGTTTATGTCTTTTTGAAACCAAATAAACAGGCATTCAATCAAGAATACGTCCTGCTGCTGTTTTACCCTGAAGCTTCTTCAGAAAAACCCCAGAGAGCCCGTTGGAATAACACATTAAATATTTAGTGCGGATAAAGAGCCAGATGGATCAGAGTTATCGTTCATTGCTATCTCTGGTCATGGCCATTATTTTTCACAGCCCCATTACACTCCGAGGGCTTTACTAATGATCCCAGGTCTGAAGGATGAAATATACCACTCTTTCTATCACTTTCACATTACAGTCCACTGGCTTCACTTCTTCACTACGGCACAGCCATATTTCTTCCCCGTCAGGGAGGCAAAAGTTTAATTACATAAGCAGGTTATAGGATATAGAATGAAAATGTGTCAAACTTTTAATATAAAAGTCAATATAAAGTCAAGGTGTCTGACGTGTTCCTGTCTGCTGTTTCTCCGTAGGTCGCGGTTGGCTCAGTTCCAGTACGACTGTGAACCTTCTGAAACGGCCGTCAGTGGATGCAAACAAGGAAACTACGCAGCCTGTCTGCTGGCGTACACTGGACTCATAGGTACACACACACTCCGGAAATTTATAGGTGGGGTCCTGGACTGGCTTTTCACCCATCATCTAAGACGGCTTGGTAACAACCCTCACATTAACATCTTGACCCGCCCTGGTGACTCACAAAACCTCATTTCACACCGTGACCCAGGTGAATGTAACATCCTGTCAGTGGCTTATGTCACGAAGAGACCGTCTGTGTTTTATCATAACGACTCTGTGCTTAGGTGATTAGCTACTCAGATGCTAAATACAAAGAGTTTCCAGCAGCCTGTTAAAAAAACGGAAGACCCAAATGCAAACACACTCACAACAAGCCTCTTAAATGCATCCAGGAAAGCACATTTAAATCTTGAGTAAAAAATAATAAAAAAAAAACTTATAAAGCTAAACTTATAAAGCTAAGTGTATAAAGCGCAAAGTTGCACCGTAGCAGAAGTAGTTGAAGGTTAAAGCTAAAAAAAAAAAGTCTCAAAAGGCTATGGGTTACCCTTAAACACAACAAAGTAACTAAAACATAGCACTTATTTGCTAAAGGTAAATTATTAAAAAGCTATAGTTTAGCCTTAAATACAGCGTAGTAACTGAAACATAGCACTTAATTGCTAACCACTTAATTGTGGTTCCACGGTGTAGCAGCTAGCACGCCTGCCTTGGCAGCAGAGAGCAGAGAGTCCTGGGTTCAAGTAAGTCGCTTTGGATAAAATCATCTGCTAAATGCATACATGTAAATAGTAAAGTATCAAAAAGCTATAGGTTAGCCTAATAAAACAGCAAAGTAACTAAAACATAGCACTTAATTGCTAAAAGGTAATATATTCCTAAGATAGATCATATCATTTACAAAATTCTAATGGAAAATATTTACAATAGTTAGCTTTGGGCTAATTCGACTTATTTTTAGGAAGAAAATTAGGCCTTAACTTTATAGACCATACTAATTTATTCATCCTAATGTTAGCCAGTTTTTAGGTCAGTGCTTACATTTTGCATTTACCAACGTAAGACTAAATATTTTCATATCTGATTGCATGTTGTGGGTCACTTAGCTTATCTTAGCTTAGCTTAAACTTGTATTATCTATATTCCAGTAACAAGTTAGGTTCCTTCCATATCCAAAGAGGTAGATGTTGTGCATGCTACAAAAGCCTGCTGAGACATTTCTTGTGACGGGTGAACAAAAGTTAGCAAGATGTCGCAATTAGGGATGACACAAGCCGATGCTTAGGTGCGGTATCAGTCAAAATATCAGGACAGAACATCGAAAAAACAAAAGACAACTATAACACGTCCGATCTGAAAGTAAGGTATTGGATTGGTATCAGTATCAGCTAACCATCACTAGTTATAAACAAACGTTTTTTCAGAGATGTTTTGGTCTCAAACACTTGCAGATTCTTGATGTTGTCATTCAAACATCCCAGCATGTATAACCTGCATCATCATCCCGTCAATGGGAAGGAAATGCAGCTCCCATTAATGCCTCAGAAAACAAGGCATGGCTGCAGTGAGTTTAATGAATATTTGATGGTGATTGACGCCTCCTGTGGTCTCTCTGCAGGAAGTACCATCACTCCCAACTATGTAGACAACTCCACGTCCAGCGTGGCTCCATGGTGCTCATGTTCCTCCAGCGGGAGTCAGAGACAAGAATGTGATCATTTTCTAGGAACTTTCACCGACAACATCTGTCTCCGTGAGTCAAACTTTGTTCATTACGTTTTTCAAAAGTGAGGAAGGAACTAATTTTTAGGCCTTTGATACCATTGTGTTCCTTTAAGTCGTTTTATACATCTCTCCCGCAAATGTGTTGTATAATTCGTCTGAGGTGAAACTTGATAGTTTACGTTTGGTAAACGTACACAGCCAATGACTGTCTCATACACTCTTTGTATATTCATACTGTTTTAGTAATGCAGTAAAACTAATATTCAAAAGTGATATTTACTAAAACTCTTTGCGCAGAATGAACTGTCGGGTTTGCAAGTGTACGTTTTTTGATTTAGCCTTTCTCCTCCTGCCTCCCACCTAAAATAATACAGACAGACATCTCAAGTTGGTGGTCTCTGTCTGTGCTCTGAGTTAATGAGGTTAGTGCGGAGGCAGGCGCACTTGTACTTTTGAAATAAAAGGTGGAATTTTTTTTCTATTATTTTTTTTTCCTCTTCTCTGCTGCTGAGCCAAGACGAAAATCCTCACAAAAGCTTTTACTTTATTTTCACATTTCAGAACTAGAGCACCTGCTGTTATGTAAAAAGACACGTGTTGTTAAGGTCTCATACTGGTTAGGACTTACTGTCATCCTCACGTTTCAGGCAACGCTCTCTTAAAGTTCGGAAGTGAATCCGAGCAGCAGCCGACTCTCGGCCAAACCAACGTACCCAGGAGCACCAGCAGAACCACCATCACCACCTCCATCACCAGCACAGAGAACAGGAGGGCCACATCCTCCCCACCAGAAACGAAAGAAACTCCAAACAACGTTATAGATGCATTCATACCAACACAGGTGAGAGGTGGAAACCAGCAGCACGACAAAGGCAGGCATTCAGCACTGACAGCTTTTCTTACATGTGGTTAGTTCAAAAGAGTCAAAAAAAAATGGTTCAGCACAAAAGACTAAACTTCTTTGTGTAGTTTCTGTGCTATCCTATTCACATCAAAGTCCCTGGAAAGAAAATGGTGCTCTTACTTTGATCCAAATTCAAATGTGTTCATTTAGTGCTGGCCAATGATAAACATTTTTAATTGGGATTAACTGCATCATTGATTTGAACAGTGGTTCATGTGAGAGCTGCAGCAACCTTAGGCCCAGCTTGTGTTCTCATTGGTTAAAACCTGAGACGATGTCAGTCCTAAGACTGCACAAAATTAAAATAAGAAAATGATTATATATATTAACATAGGCTGCCAAAAGTGAATTGTGATTGTGTTAACTGATTAATCATATTAAAATATGACGCACAATATATATCAGTAATTCTGCTGTCTGTTCCACTTATCATTGGTCGAATACACATGATGGCATTATCACACACTGACGGAACCTAAAACACTATTTTTTTTTTACTGTTCCAGAAATAGGAAGGGCGATCTATTTCGATTAATCGTGATTAAGTATGATAAATACACAGATGTCCTGTTTTGGTTTGCGGTTCTAAATTATCAAATGACACAACCTGACCACCAGGGTGTGCAGTTGCTAGATCATTTTGGTGCAGAAGACAAACCACACAAGTAGAAAAATGAACATATTTTTAATAAATCCCTGACTAAATATGTTTTACTAAATACAACTACAAACGTCAGCTACAGTGCTCTCCGTCTTCTTGCAGGCCCTTGGGAATGAATTACTGGTGGGCCTCTCTACTTTGCCATCAAACAGCCTCCCAAACTCGGCTTCTCCTCTCTGCCTAACTCTTCAAACTGCCTTCAGCCTTCTGTTCTTGCTCCATCTGCTCAACAACGGACAGTGAAGAACTGCGGGGGAGCAGTGGCAGCATTAACCTGCTCGTACGGAGCAGATGGACGGATCACTGCAGTTCAGAGGAACGTACACTGTGTGCAGTGAATCCTTCCTTTTAAATATGTACAGAAGTCTTTTTTTTACCGTCCGTGTCTCTGTGGTCCAGCTTCCGTCTGATATCTGCTTCTGACTCAACCGTTGGAAACGTGGATGCCTAAAAATGTCTGTACAGTCGCACATATTTCACTACGATGGAGTCTCGCCAAAACCGGTCCTAGTCAGTTTCTGATTCCATGGACTCAACTACTGTAGATGTCAAATCCAGTAAAAATGTTCAGTATTATTATAAGAAAATATATAAAAAATGTGAATAACAAAGACATGAAAAATGTCGCTGCCAGTTAAGGATTGTTTTTTTTTCAACATAAGCTCTTATTTGATTTCATCTCTAAAAATCTTTGGATTCACTATAAACAATGCGTAACGACTCGAAGACCACAGTTTAACACTAGTGGACTTCACATGGACGTATTGACCGGAATGCAGCAGAACGTCGAAAGGTGGGCAGTAAATTGCGATTCTGCTGCAGGAAATGCAGCTTTATAACACCTTTCTGAAAAGGATGAAGGTGGACCATTATTTCTGATCGATACTGGACTGGAGCGGTGACAATGAGAGACAACACAGAGATGTTTTGCTCCCAGACAAAGACATAAAAGTCTGGATTAAATTCCTTCTTTTTTTTTTTTTTTTACAGCCTGCCTCCGCTGCAGCTGCTGTACTGTGTGTTGGTCAACATCAATGTGTTTTAATGCCATGTCATGTGATCTTTTTGAATTGAAGCTTTTTGTTCCACACACGCAGGTAAAGTGAAGAATCGTGAAGTTGGACGATGACGAATGATGAGTTTAGGGAAAGTGTCTCTAAATTCTGAATGTGAACCAGAGGTGCTTTAAATAAAAGTTCTCACATCTTTCCAGCATCTTCTTTATTTTTTACTTTTAAATTCACTTTTTACTTCATCTGCTACTTCTAAAAGTTCATGTATTTAAGCCAGTCATTTTCAAAGACCAGTTCCGTATGTTTCACAGCTGATCTATTTTATCACTTAACTGCAGAAGTTTTCAAAGTCTCAGTGAGAGCCGCCTTCCAAGGAGCAAAACACACACTCACACACACCTCATGCATCCTTTGACACAAATGCATGCATGTGCATAATCTTAAAAAGATGCAAGTTGTACGGAAAAGTAAAAAAAATGCTATTTAAAACATAATGCAAAAAAACATCTGTTTCTTTAGGTTTTATGAAAACAATGAAAACAATAATATTACACACCAGATCAATCTGTTTCTTTTTGTTTTATGAAAACAATAATATTACACACCAGATAAAAACATTTTTTTAATAATTATCATTGCTGTATTAGAGTCATTTTTATTTTTATAACCATTTCTCCTGAACCGCACATCACGTAAACTGCTGCAACCGTTGGATTCTCAAGTTTCCGATGGTACCAGAACGCATTTTAGGATCTCCTTACGCTTTATCAAATTAAAAAAAATGAATCTTGTTTCCCCCCCTAATACTATATTACATAAAGTCATTTTAGAAAAACTATGAAGGATAAAACTCAGTTTCCAACAATCCTTCTCACACAACCTTGCAACTCGACCGTAGTCTGTGCGATGAGAAAGAAAATTGCAAAGAAAAACTGCAGCTCCAGAGAATATTTTTTAATATTAAATAAAGCCGAAATACCATCCATAAACAATCTAATATAGCACGCTGTCAGGAAAATGTCAAATAAAACTCACATCCATTCACAGCAGTGAAGACTTAAATCGTCTGTGCTGCGAGAACATCATGAAACCTGACACTTTGATGAAGTCAGTACAAATGAAAGCTAAATGTGACCCAGGAGCTGGAATCTTTTAATATTTTGTCGTATTTCTCTGACTGAGATACTGTAACATGCAGTATGTGCTACTTAATTCATTCAGGTTATTATCTTCAAGAGGTGATAAAATTTAAAAAAAATATGTGAAATAGCCATCACCTTTATTAAACAGAGCCATCATATCTGTTATAAAAAAAAAAACGTGTGCAGTGTTGCATCTAATGTATTAACCATAATTGTACAGATCTCAGCGGGGGGCCTCCTTCAGAACCTTGTACTGTGGTAAATTATTAAATACTATCCTCACCTTAAACGACACAGGGAAAGTTAGAAATGAGGACAGATATAAAAAGAGAAAAGTTTGTCTCATTAGTAGTACTGTATGTGTTGAGGTGAGGACGGTGTAAGACAACAGAAGCATTCCGAGGTCCTGATCCTTTCTATACTGTACTCATGTCCATCTGCTTTCACCCTGACTCTCCGTGGAGCCAGAGAGAAACAAGCAGAAGGTCATTTACCAACATGTGGTTCAAAGGCTCCAGCTGCTACAGTACCGTGTACAGTGATTGTTACTAATGTGGTGTATGTGAGTTAATCCTTTAGTTTAAAACTCAACCAACAACAAGAGGATACACAAATGCAGGCGCAGTACTGACGTTTTGGGCTGAAACTAGGTGTAGTGAATTTTATTTAATGCAGTTTGTTCTCAAACAGGTGAATAACAGCAGCAAGATTACCATGAAAGTCTGCCTTTGATCTCAGATCAAAAAAGGTCTTACAATTACACCGATGATTGTTTGGTTGTTGTTGAAGAACAACAAAAAAAATATAGCCATAGAATTTGTAATTTGGACATGGTGTCAGAAGACTTTTATGTCTAGATGGCCTCATAAAAATGCTAACCTAAAGAGAGTTCTCAATTTTAAGAGAGTCACGTGAAATATTAGTTGCACACGTGTTTTAACAGTTAACTGTATTTTGTTGATATGTGTATCTTTTAATTCAGTGATCATCAACTGGCAGCCCGAGGGCTGCGTCTGGTCTGTCGAATCGTCCAATTCGCCCAGCGAAGGATAAAAGAAAGAATATTGTGTGGCCCCCGGTATTTAAGCAAATGAAAAAAGGACAGAAAAAACTCTCAGTAATCCGCACTATTTATGACTCTATTTAATTCTGTTAGACAAAAAGGGGTTTTTTCATAGAATTTTATTTTAGTGTCTGGCCCTCAAGGCGTCCCTCCAGAAAAATCTGGCTCCCTAAAAAATATATAGCTGGTTGAGCCTCGTTTTAAATCTTCTATTGTTCGATGGTCAAAGTGCAACAGTCTGCTTTAATTTCGCCTTAGATTTTCCAAAGGGAACTCACAAGGGATTAATAAAGTTTTTTCTATCTATCTAACTATCTGTCTGTCTATCTATCTATCTATCTATCTATCTATCTATCTATCATCCATCCTTATTATTTTTGAAAGACCTGCGTAAGTGTTACTGATGCTAAAACTTTTTTTTTATCAATTTTCATTTTGGTGGCAGTATTGCAGCACTGTTGTTCTATATTTTTGAAAGACCTGCTTAAGTGTTACTGATACTAAAAAAAATGTATCAATTTTCATTTTTGTGGCAGTATTGCAGCACTGTTGTTCTATTCAGAAGCACAGACGAAGTATGGTGTGATGCCTGAAATATTACCTTGAATTTAATTAAAAACTTCTTTAGCTCTGCAGCTGTTACCTATTTCCTGACCTGTCTCCACAGTTTAACCCGCAGTAGCGTGCGTGTTAGCGTCATGGTGATGAGCGCAGAAAATTCATTCGTATTGTACTGTGATAGGAGCTGCACTGGAGAAGTAAACCTTTACATCTCTGGCCGTTGACTCTATGCAGTCCTGGGTTTCTGCCGGGAGCAACAGTCGGACACAGATTACTACCCACAACTGACGAATCCTTCACTTGCCCTCTTCTTTGTACCCCTGTGGGCCCCAACTGTTGCCTGATAGGAGCTCACAATATTACCTCAATTCTTGAAATTCTCCCTGTGATTGCCAATTTCCTAGCAAACTGCCTCCCTCCAGAGGCCGTGTCACAATAATTGCCACAGTCTTTATTTAGCGGTGAGTTCGTCAGGACTTTTTGTTTATACAGTGCAGTTACTCACAATCACAGTCAAACACAGGGGTCATCATGTACAGTATGGCTCAACGCAAAGACACGTGGCAGCGCTCTAGCAAATTACTGGGTCCTCCAGGAAGCAGGAAAGAGAGGGAAAGGTGCAGTTCACAAAGTTCACGGGGGTAATCAGGCACATGGGAACAGAACCTAGGCAGAGGGAGGCTACTTTTTGTTTCTCCCCAGAGATGAGAATGGCGTTAGGCTAATAGTGGATATTTTGGCTAACCAGGGCATTTTACTTTGTTTATTTTACTTTTTATGCATATGGATCCTATGGGACATTGGACATGGCTAGGATAAAAAAAAAAGGCCAAAATAAAACAACAGGTTGAAGTCTTTTGTTATTTATGTAAATAATATTGCTGGTGAATCTAACTTGTTTTGCTATTTGCCGATGACACAGCAGTGTTACCGTCCCTTGTTCCTGATGCTATTTGTTGTGGTAGAAAAATGCATTACCTCAGTATTTTCCCCAGTTCATGGTGCTGTGGTTAAAATGCACCGAGTTCCCGGTGCTTTCTCCGTCAATAAATTTTTTATAGCTTTTGGTAATGTCCTTTGTTTGCTGTTATTGCTTTTTGCAGTTCCTCACAATATCCCTAGTTTCTCATGAGAGTGTTTTTGTGTGGAGAAAATAAAACTATTTGGTACCACGAGGTACTAATGCATGTATTTGGTTTTTGGTCCTTTTGGTGGGATTACACACCGGTGCTGTTGATTTTTTTCTTTTCCATTGCTTCCCTGTGCTAGCAAACAGATGGGTCTGTTTTAACGCAGATTAGAATTCATTGCTAAATCTACACAGGACTTTCACTATGATGGTAATGTAATTAGACCTTTAAGGCAAGAACTGCTTCAGTGTTGAAAATGCTACCATTTAGTGACTCCGAAACAGACTTGTAGTACTGTATTAAAAACGTATCTGTTCTACTATAGGTAAGATCTGCAGAAACGTTTTAGACCAAATGGCGATTGAGAATCACCTGTGTGAGAAACAGCAGCATCCGTTTCACCAGCAGCTCAGAGAGAGTGAGAGTGAATGCAAATATAAACACAGTACATAATTAAAGTTGCACAGAAACCTCAGAAACCCTCTGTTGTCTTAAGCTGTTATCACCTCAACACATGTTCTAATGAGAAAAAGAAACCTTGCCTCATTTATAAGTTCCCTGTCATTTGAGGTGAACATAATATTTAATAGCCATCTGTGCCTGATTCATGTGAATAGTGTTGAGCTATTCAATAAGTTCAATGTGCTTTTCAGTCTGAGCTGTGCGGCTCTCTCACTATTAACCTTGGCTCATATTAAAAGGCAAAGAGAAAGAAAAACAAGTCTGATTTCATCACACCTCACCTCCGTGTCCAAACGCCTTTTCGACCGACCTGCTGGCCTTTTGTTGCACGTATAAAGGCGTGAGCTTTAGAAAAATCCCAAGAGAAAATATGTGGAGTAATTAGGTACTATTTAAACTAAACTGAAGTGAGAGAGTTGGATGCACTCATTTTCTTCTTACACCACACGACAATATTAAAAATGCAATTTAAACCGAAGCGTATTTATTTTTTGTCCATGTAACCTGGTACGAATAACACATAACATTGGTCCCTAAATTTTTTATCGTACTTTGAGCTACAGTGTACACATAACACATAACATTGGTCCCTACATTTTTTATCGTACTTTGAGCTACAGTGAGAAAGTCGAGTGATGTTTTGAAGCAATAGCTGTTTATAGAGTCGCTTATTATATTAAGTCACTGTATGAGTCAACCCACACAGACTGCCACAGGAGGCGCTATTAGGTATGCAGTGTCAACTCACAGGCTGCCCACACGGGAGGCTCCAGTCAGTTGTTGACAGTACCAGGAACTATTATCAATAGTGCTATTAACTATGTGCATCTGGATCACAAAAACTGGTGCAGTGCAATACAAATGTTTTTTAAGCACCAGAGGTCATGCCAATAACTAGAGTTGTGTCTCGAGTTTATTTTCACCACGTCAAACAGAGTTGTACATGGAATTGCTTCTTTCAATCATTAGCTATACAAGAGCTAATACTAGCTAACCATTTACACAAGAACTACAACCAGAAACTAATAACAGTAGAAGAAATTGTTAGTAGGTCTGCCTCATAAACCAGTACCATTTTTGGGAAACAAAAAACAGTCCCAGTTAGTAGAGAAAGCTGTAGTAATTGAATGCATTTTTTTCATTAGGACCCAGCACCAGCACTGGAACAGAAACAAGAACAATTATTCTACACCTCATTAAAATTATTAGCATAACATTTATTTTTCAAATGTAGTGGGTTTTTTTTTATTATTAAATATATCCTGTTTTAATTATAGGTGGCTGTTTGAAAGAGTAGTCAAGTGTCCAGGTGAGAAATTAAATGTATTGTAAAAGAACCACTTAGTAATCAGAAGGCTAACTATGCTAATCAGCAAAGAGGACCTGTCATTATAAACCACACTGTGCCAGAAATGATGTGTTTCAAAAATTTCCACTTCATATTTTAAACCCCACCTCAGTGAAATTAATAGATAACCAAGTCTTGAAGCATTATTTAATTTTTACAGACTAGTCGGCGCTGTATGTTGACGAGCAGAAAAAAAAGCCCAGAGCTGTGACCACACTGCCCTCTTGTGGTCTTTTACCAACACAGCAGTAGTGAACATAACATTTGTAAGACTTGTTTGTAAGGAGATTTCCACTGTAGAAATTGTACTAATTAATTAATTAATTAATTTTAGCGCCAGTGACATAGAATTGTGTCTTTCATTACCACAAAATACCAGGAGGTATATGACATTCTACTAAATTATTTCCAAAAGAATTATGTGTACATGACGTCCTTAGCACTTATCAATTTTGTTATAATGAAAAAAAAAATTAAACCTTTAAAAGACTGTGTTGGAAACCTAACATCATTACAGATATTATAGTTTAAAATTTGAAAATAAATCTTTGACCTTTTAGGTAAAAATATGCAGTGAGTGTAAAAGATTACCCAAAATACATCAACTATGGATATAATTATGTCAGTGTTTTGGTGAAGCTCTGGCAAAAACTGGACAGGCAGACACTGAGTGCTCACATCTGTGGTCTGGGGTCAACATAATCAAGGGTCACTTATTACCTAATTGTTGCTCATTAACTCCAAAAGCGCCGGTGACCTCTTCATAAAAACCCTTTCTTATCTTCACGTCCAGATCCAGTGTTAAAGTGAAAGATCGCAGATGAATAACCGAGGGAAACATATTTTCACTTCCTGATAAAAACGCCATTCACAGACAAGCTGTCCAACCACAGGAAATCTGAATGAAAAGTTTGGTAAAAAATTTTTTTTCTACAACTCAGCTCATGCGTAGAGGAATTTTTTTTGACATTTAATGCTAAATCTATATACATTTATTGTATAATAATAAAACTCTGTGAGCTGTGGACAGTAAGAGCAGATTCAAATGCCTACCATGTTTCTACTGCACAGGAATTTACTCTGTAAATTCCACAGAGATTGGGCTGTCATTTTGAAAAATAAAAAGTGCTATTCTTATTTGATCAACAAGAGATACAGATTAACACGTTATCTGCATACTGTAATTTATTTACATTATTAGATGAGATGGTTTCTGAAAAATCCCATCTCATTCAAACCATACGGCTCATTCTGAGTAGAAACATTTAAAATCCCTCTTTTTTCCCCCCACACCTTTCTTTTTTTATCTTGTGCCAAAAAGAATGTAACAACATACATATTCTCTCTTTAATCTAAATTTTAAATGTAAACTCTCTACAGGGTGTAATATTTAATGCCTGGCTTGAAAATGTACATTTAATGCCACGGTTTTATTTAGATTTTTGACAGTTTTGTTTCGATCCGTAGAATTGTTTTCCGTTCGAGGGTTTTGATCCTTTCAAACAACATATCCTCTCTGTCCTAAGACTGCACGTGAGTTGGAAGCAGACATTCTGCAACGCAAATAGATGAACTCAGCAGATATGATGTTTGTCTGTGACACAATTAGTGACAGATTACACAAGACGGTAGATGATTACTGCAAATGCGCTGCAAGTCAGTGCGAGCCGCTTTCGTGGAAGAGATATCCTCATCGTGACTTTCTTGACATATATACTTAAATGTACATATAAACATATGTATATAAACAATGTATTTATCATATGAATATATTTATATATTGAATTGGACATATATTAATTGAATTATTTTATTATTATCAAAGACATTAGCATATAGCTGTGATGTGATAATCAAATGGTACTGGACACTCATATATTTACAATTATATATATATAAATACTCTATATGTAAATATATATATATAGATAGATAGACAGATAGATAGATGGATTTATTGTGCATTTATTTGGCTCAAAGTCACGATTTTAAAGGATGAGATATTCAAATGGAGTTGGACATTCACAAAGCAACATATATGCATATATACATATATATATATCTTCAACGTATCTTTATTTAATTAGTAGAATGACAGACATTCTGCTTTATATAATTAGTAGAATGACAGACATTCTGCTCTAAGTTGGTTTGTGAAAACCCAAACATTAACAGAGAGTCTTGCTACAGATGGGAACCAGATTAAAATGAAACCTTACTAAATTTAGCCTCACGATCTACTTTTGGGCTACACCCCACCATTTGAAAAACAACGTGTTTAATGCTGCAGTCGGTCTTCCAGCAGAGTCACATTAAAATACCAATGACTTCCAGCAGGGTTTGGAGGCAGTTCCTCTCACTTTCCACCCACATGTTTTATTCACCCTTAGCCCCGAAGCCCACCAGGAAGTCAACGACTGCCCTGACTGGCTGAGAGGACATTAAAGATAAAGTTATTCATTGGCCCTGACTCCGTCTCAGTCCACCTCCACCTGTGAGGTTGTCTGCAGGATTGTCCCACAGCAGACTCCGCGTCCACTCACGGCTGTGTGTTTGAGGCTTCATCACAACCACAGTAACAGCAAAGAAGGGTTTCAACTGCATGAATTCATCATGAGGGCTAAAAAAGAAGCAGACGACATGGCCGGAGTCACTGTGAACAGATTTGCTGAAGGTAAGCTTTACAGAAAAAAAAAAAAGAAAAGTCCATCCACCCATTTTTGTCCGCTTATATATATATATATATACATATATTTATTTATTTAGCTTTCCCTAATCATACAGTTCGAAAAAGGTTACCAATAGAGTGTGTATAATAATAATATAATGTGTTTGCAAAGTTTTAAAAACATTTTATTTACTCTACATGGTTCTAACGAGGTTTCATTTTATTTATATGGTGTTTACATTTTGTCATCTATAGACTTGTGTTTCAAATTTCAGCCTGTGTGAAATACGTTAAATATGAGACAGAGATTTATAACCTTAGAGCTGAAGTGCAGGATCCAGTATTTTGAGGCGAAATGAGGTTCAACGGGCTTCAAATTCCAGGCAAAATTACTGAAGGAAAGTTGAGCCTGGAACAAAACATCAAAAACTAAATTGAAAGACAAAAAAGTTTGAATCTGCTCCAGGTCAAAAAAAAACCCCAAACATTTAGAGTTCATTCTCCATGGTTCCAAGTCACAGATTATGGACAGCTGTTAGTCAAGTCTCCAGAGATTCAAGTCGGAATAAAGAAGTTCAAGTTTAATCAAGTCAATCATCACGCAAGTGGTATAAATATAGACCTTTCTAATATACAGTGTGTCCCCTTTATCAGAGGTGAGAATCACGTGCAGTCAAACCCAAAGCCCTGAATGAACCTGTGAACACGTCCTCTGTGTCTCCTGTAAATCACACTGAGCAGTTGCTGTCCGGCACATGTAATGTTTGACTGGAAGTTTGGACATGAAGTGCACTGTTACACATTCAAGTCTCCACTGAGTCAAAGATTATCAACTAATTCATTCAGTAGCTTTTTATATGTCACCAGCCTCTGAGGAATGATTGTCCTGCTGATTAATACGGACTACAATCATAAAAAAACAACATTTGTAGCTGCTGTTCTGATTGCTTTTTTAAACCTATTTGTGTGTTTCTGCCACGTCTCACTTCCTTTTTAATTCCCCTCAGTTGGTCTCATGTTTGTTTTTTTTCCTCCACCTTTTCCCCCTCAGGCTCTTGTGAAGTTTTGATTAATGTTTCACGGTCAACTAAACTACAACAAACCCTTAACCACAGAACATTAGGTTTTTAATGCAGCCTTTCATTTCATACCGCATGATACAGGACTTCTGGTGGGCTTCATTATACATTAAAGGGTCAACCTTTCATTTCTGAAGTACATTCCATTATTTGTGCATCTTCACACCTTACTGAAAACAACAGCTAAACAACACTGAGCTCTAAAATCCCTGCAGTCAGCCTCATTTCCCTTTTTGCTGAAAAACAAACGGCAGTCGTCTGGGGCTATTTATATATAAGGTCAGAGGTCAGCCTGAGCCTTTTACACTAGGTCTCTCGACTCATTTGATGATCTTCTGACATAAGCTCGGATCCTAAGCTCATTACACACATTTTTTATGAGATTTAGATAAGGGCTTTGTTTAGGACTAACATCACCTTTGGTCTCCTGGAGATAATTTTACAGCTGTACCACCTCAGGATTTCTCCTTAGAACCTTCTCCTTATTTTTTTTTTCTACTCTTTGGGCTCTTCAGTTATGAATTCACTCAACAGAAACATATTCCCACCTGTATGTTCTTTCGCTTCTACAGCACTTACATGATTTTACATGATTATGGCAATTTGGTCCCATCACCAAAATTAAAAACTGTGACGAAGTCACGGCCCAAACTTAATATTTCTTGAAAAATCGATGGCATTGTTCATGTTTTCCCTTCTTTCCAGATCTGTAATGTAGAATGTTTTCCATATGTTAACAAACTTTCAATTTGAAATAAGACACACATGAGTGGTATTTGTTTCTTACTGACTCTTTATCTGCAGCCTTTCAAATTCTTTTTAATGTATATCTTTTTTTCACAGGCCAACAACAAAAAACAAAACAAAATGTATGTGCTATAACATAGCACATAAACCGCTAATACTAAAATTCCTGCCAGTATACAGGGGCTATATACTGGCGGGCAAACTCTAATACACATTTGATATGATCTTACGGGTCAAATATAATTACACCGCAGCCCAGATTTGGCCCCCGGGCCTGAGTTTGACCCGTGCACTATAGATACTGTAATGAAATGGCTGTCATTTCACAGAGGCACTGATTTCAGAAACATTTCACTTTGATTTTTTTCCCATAGATGTATATGCACAGGAAAGAAGGCAACACTTTATAAAAATAATTAATTTTAGGTAAATAATTTACTTTCTTTAGCCCCAACAGAAGGGACCAATTAAGTTAAAGTCAGCCAAACTAAAAATAAAACTTGTAACGAACGTTGAACTTTGCTGCCATCTCCTGGCAGACAGAGAAACATACATGCTGTTTTTTTTTCCTTTACACCCACCTCTCTCTCTCTCTCTTTCTCTTTTTAATTGGCATTTTCAGCCTAAGGCTGAATCTTAAAGTGATTTCCCAAATGTCCGACACTCGCCACAGAAAGAGGAGCAATTCAAAACCAAAAACAATGAGAAAGTCAATAGGTGCTAATTAAAAAATGTCACTCTTATCTCACTATTACAAACCCAAAGAATTAGCAGGTGGGTGATTTAATAAAATAAAATGGAATCCAAGGGGAGAGAGACAGAAACATTCACTTTTGAAGATCTCTCTGTATCTGATAAAAAAAATTAATTACAACGTCAATATTCCACTGTGGCCTGGAAAAAAAAAATCCAACTTCCAAACATTTAGAGCATTAGAATTCCTCCTACATGCTTGTATGTGAGAAATAATGATTTTTCTCTTTACTTGAGGCAAACCAGCAATCTTCCTCACATGCAGAGTTAAAAAAGAAAAACACCCTAGAGCCACTAACACTATGAGTAAGACTAAACTCACTCATTTCCACACATGACTTTTCACATCTACATTCAGCGAATGGCTTCAAATGAATATGTGTATGAGAAACACAAGGTGGATATTATTAACTATTCTTTCC